CGAGCGGGAGCGGGGCTGTGAACGCTTTTGGTGCCTGCCCCGGGGGCGGGCAAGCGGCAGAATCGGCCGGCAGCTCCGCCGGGCTTTATCCCCGAAGGGCAGCCGCTGAGAGCGAAGCGGCTCCCGGTCTGGCCCCGCCGGGGACGGGGCAGGAAAGCGGCTCGGGCTCCTTCTCGGTTTGGCGAGCAGGGGGGTGGGGGGGCTTGGGGGGCTCAGGCGAAGCCCTGGGCGAGCTCTGGACCACCGGCCTGTCGGAGAGGCCAAGCCGTGGCCCGATCCTGCTGGCGAGGGCCGGGTGTCCCCTCGACAGCCCGGGGTGCCGGGATCGGGCCCCCTCTCTTTGGTCGCCCCATGCCGGTGGCCGTGGCCCACGTCCGTGGGGAGAGCGGGACCGACATCACCGTCAAGGACCAGCCTCGTGACGTTGAGATGGTGTCAACGCCGTGGGAACCGGCTGGGTCTTGTGCAAGGGGTCTGTGGAGGAACTTGGCCGGCAGCGAGCCCCTTCCTTCCCCTTTGCTAGGAGAGAGCCCAGCGCCCTGCCCTGCTGAGCCGAGCTGAGCCGAGCCGAGCCGTCACGGAGCAGGACATGGGAATCACCATGGCTCTGGTGACGTGGGCACTGCCTCTCACCTACTTGATGCTGTTTCTGCTCTGGAGATCCCCAGGTGAGTGGGGTCCCCGCACAGCCCCAGCACCTTTCCCACGGCACGCTCCCCTGCGCCGCTGGCAGAGCAAGCCCCTGTGCCCGTGGGTATCTGGGGCTCTTCTTTCACTGCCTCCCTTCCAGCTTGCTTTTTTCCCCAGCTGAAGAGTTTGGTGTACTCCAGAATGTCCCGGAAGCCCCGGGCTCTCCCCATCCCGCAGTCACCAGCCGTGCCGGCTGCCCCGGGGGGCAAGGGGCAGGGGTGTCTCTTTGTCCCCTTCTCTGGGCTTGGGGCCGGGGGTCTGGTGATGCCCCGTGCTGTGCCCCAGCTCCAGGGCCCCTCATCAGCCCCAAACCCTCCTGTCGCTGTGCTCAGGTGCGGGTGCCCAGGTGAGTCCGGACTTCGAGCTGCAGCAGCCCCAGGACAAGGTGTCGGTGGCAGCGGGGGAGACGCTCACCCTGACCTGCACCACGTCTGCAGCCGGTCCCCTCGGCCCCGTGAAGTGGCTGAAGGGCTGGGGCGATGGGAACGAGACCATTTATGACCAGGCGGTTGCCGTCCCCCGCGTGACGCGGATAGTGAGTATCTCCAACACAGACTTCAGCATCCACATCAGGGATGTTCGCCCCGAGGATGCTGGCACCTATTACTGCGTGAAGTTTGACAAACGGGTGGTCGGTCTTGATGTGTTTCGACGTGGAAAGGGCACGGTGGTGTCCGTGCACGGTGAGTGGGGCTCCCACAGCAGCTCCTGGTGGGAACCAGCCCTGCCGGGAGCAGCCCCTGCCCCATCCCAGCCCGGTGGGCTCAGCTCGGGGCGAGCGGGGATGGGGAAGGGGCTCAGGGGCCGGTCCCATGGTCCATCCCCAGGCACATCCGTGCCCCCATGGGAGACCCCGGTCCCTGCAGCCCCGGGCTGGGTGGGGGTGGCAGAGCCCGGTCTGACGGCCCCACACTTCTCCCCACAGCCAAACCCACCCCCCCAGTTGTGTCTGGACCCGACAACAGAACGGGGCTGGGGCAACGGGTGCCTTTCACCTGCACGGCCGGAGGGTTCTTCCCCAAAGAGATTGATGTGAAATGGTTCAAGGACAAGGACCGGATCTCAGTTCAGCCACCCAGTATCACCCTTGGGCAGACGAAATCCTCCTACGACATGTCCAGCACTGCGGTGGTGACACTGCAGAAGGACGATGTCCGCTCGCAGCTCATCTGTGAGGTGCAGCACTCCACGCTGACGGCCCCGCTGAGGGGGATGTACCAGCTCAGGAAAGCCCTGCGAGGTGAGGGCTGGGGGGCACTGGCGCTCGGGGTGCCCAGCTCCTGTGGGGCTGGGGGTCCCAGGACAGGGACAGGGCACCCTGCGGGCAGCAGAGCCAGGGGATGCCAGGCACCAGGCGCTGCCTCTCTTCCCAGTTTCCCCCAAAGTCAGCGTGGTCGCTGGCGTGCCGAGCCCCGTTGAGGTGGACAAGACCATGAACTTCTCCTGCTACGTGGAGGGGTTTTACCCAGGAGATGTGGCCGTCACCTGGCTGGAGAACGGGATGGAGATAAAGGTGGAGAACATCTCCCAGCCAGTGGAGACCCCCCGGGGCTTGTTTGAGCTGAGGAGCCTGGTGGAGGTCCAAGCAACGGAGGAGAAGAACGGGTCCGTGTTCACCTGCCGAGTGGTGCACGATGCCCGGGGCCCCATCGACAGCACGGCCACCCTGTGGATCACTGTTGCAGCCAAGGGGGAATTGAGCGACAGGACCCTGACAGATAACGGTGCGTGAGAGCCGCTGGGATGCGGTCCCTGCCGGGGAGGCTGTAAGATGTCACCCCCCTGAGAAATCTCAAAGTCCCACCAGAGTCTGGTTCAAGGACAGAAAAACTCCATGTTGGGGTGCTGGGGGGTGTGATACTGGCAGGTACTGAGCCGCCATCCTTGGTGCTTCAGGTGTCACCAGCCCGACCCCAGCTGTAAGGCTGGGTGGGGGTGGCAGAGCCCGGTCTGACGGCCCCACGCTTCTCCCCACAACCAAACCCACCCCCCGAGTCGTGCCTGGGCCGGACCACAGAACGGTGCTGGGGCAACGGGTGCCTTTCACCTGCACGGCTGGAGGGGTCTTCCCTGAAGACACACTCATGTCTCCTGTCCCCACCGCAGGTGTGTGCCTCCTGTACTGCTCTGGCTTGTGGCTTGGCATCCTGCTCGAGAAGGGGCTTCTCGGCGGCCTCCTCATCTTCCTCTTCAAGCGCGCAAGGGCATGAGGAAGGAAACGCCGGGGCCGACCCCTCATCCCACTCCGTGTCGATCCCCGGTTCCTCAGATCACAGCGCCGGGAGCGGGTCCCGGGACTCGGCTGCCACCGGCTTTGTCGTGTATACCGGGAAATAAAGGGGCTGCGATGCACAGGTTGCCCTGGACTGCTCCATGCCACCGGTCCCGGGCGCAGACCCCCGCGGCAGCCCCGGCCAACGGCGGGAGCAGGATGGTGGAGCCTTGGGTGGGGGGGAACCGGGACAGCCCCTTGCCGCGTCACGGACAGCGGCAGCGCCGCAAGACCACCGGAGGGCTCCGGTTAATGGCGGGG